GGGCCTCCGTAAATGTATTCACTTGCGCTGCTGCCAACGCCTCTTGGATGTCCAAATTTAGTCCCTGTATAAACCGTCTCACTCTTCTCGGTTCCGTGGCTACTAATTCTGAAGCAAACTTGGATAGTTTGGTAAATTTCGTTTCGTATTCAGCCACACTTAAGGTCCCCTGGCGTAGTCCAATAAATTCGTCCTCCCTCCTTTCTTAAACTAAGGGTGGGAGGTATTTCTCGTTAAATTCTCTTACAAAATTCGCCCATGTCCAGACAGTCTGTTCTCTTTCCCACTTTGTTCTAATTACGTTCCATCATGCCCGGGCCGATCCCTCAGATTGAAACACTGCGAAGTTCACCTGCCTCTATTCAGTGTAATTCAAAGCTGTGAATATATTCACCATGGCCTCTAGCCATTGTTCAGCGATGTCCGGATCAGGCCCTCCAGTGAATTTTGGAGGTGCAAACTTCTGAAACCGCTCCAGAGCCTTATCCTCACCCACCGTCTCAGGGTTCCGGGTTGATTTACGGGTATTTGACCTTGTTGATCTACTAATCTTGCCAGATATCCGTCATTTGTTGCATTGCCGTTGCCATTTGGTCTCCGGTTGCAACTCTCGGTCCTTGTTCTTGTTCGGCAGACGTTTCCCTTTCTACTCTAGGTTCTGGGGTCCGTTTAGTTCCACGGCCTCGACCACGTCCCTAACTACGTCTCCCATCCATATTTTTTTCCTTCCCTCTCTTTTTTTTTTCCAAAAGTGATTTAATGAATAAATGCTAATAAGGTGACTCAAAAGTAACCAAATTGAGGGCACCAAATACACAAGTAAACATATATAACACATAACACTCCACGTAGCAAGGAAATAGCTGATCAATTATGCAAGTACGGATCAAGTCAGGCACAAATGCATATATAGACATATACAAATTGACGTCATGTAGTAAGAGTGTACGAGCGAATCGAAAGAAAAGGTTATGTGTCGGTCCAGTCTTAGCTAAGGTAATCCCATCTAGTCCCTCGCATCACTTACTATTCACACCAGATATCCCTTAACCTCTTGTACTCATTCCAGTCGAACAAAGCCTGTTCACGTTCCCACAATACAATTCTCAAATACTTAGCACTACCTAACTCTGGAGTACTCGGGTACGAGAATCCGAAATAAGATAATTCACCTCTCGAGCTGGCCAGTCCCAAGAGTAAACCATCTACAATCGGAATTCCTCCCAGACGTACCTATCTATGGTCCTCAGATTCCACAAGAAAATTTAAGGCCTATAATGTTCACAACTCATAGCTTATGCTCGAACGAGCACTTAATCCTTCATACCATTCACTACTCAGTCCAGGCTCACTCCGCACAGAGACCACGCGAAACAGGCTCTAATACCAACTGTGACAGCCCCACCTCCCCCTAAGGCGAACCAAAGGTTTGGCGGACCTCCTGCCCAGCTCTCGCCGGGACTTAGTCGTTCACTCAAACGAATCAGAAATAAAACCTCAAGAAGAGTAAAACAAGGATCCAGTTCATTACAGTCCTTAATCAAAACCCGAATTCAACCACAGGAATAAATAGTGCGAGAAGTCAAAACTTAAAGCGGAACTTATATACATTGCTATCTCAAGAGGAAGTACAACCGTCAAATATACCAAGGTTCTCAATTCACCATACAACCAGCCCATGCCAAACTAGGGCGAGAACCATTACAACAAAAAACCAAGAGCTAGACCAAGCTAGTCTATACAAGCTCTCGTCCTTGCTCGCCTTCCCCTGTTAAGGAAAACAAAACTAAAGGGATGAGCTGGAAAGCTCAGTGAGGTTCCGATCACATAGGCAACAAGAAGTTCAATGCATTCATTACACGTACCAATAATTCAAGATACAAAGATAAGATAAAGCGATAAACACATTCATTAAAAGGATACGGCTCACATGGAGCTATTCGTTCGTTCGTTCGTTCATTCATTCTCCTTCATTCCCTTATACCTTCAATCATTTGAAAATGCATTTTGTATAAGTAAAACCCTCGTTCATTCATTCGTTCATTCATTCATTCACCATCGACAGTCCACGCTCCACCAATTCCACCAACCTACAAGGTAATACTCGAGTATACCAAAACGTTCACCAGGTCCCTAATCGCCCGACCGAGTCCGCTTCTGGCTCGAGACGACCGGTAACAAGGGGCAGTGGCCATTCAGTCAAAAGGCTTACATTCATGCACAAATCACATTTCAATCATTCAATCATTGAAACTTCTCAATCATTAGGCCGAGTGCGATAAAGTACACACTTGCCTAGAAACCGTTTTACAATCATTGAAAGCATTTAACATTTATCAATCATTCATACCAGCCATATCATGAAACATAACAAACAAGGAACACTCACCTATATACGCAAAATAACGTCCACTTCTCAATCACCAATGAAACCTAAAATTAAACAAAGAACACATTACAATCCATCTAGCATGATTTGGATGAAATCAAGAATTACCCGACTACTCGCGAGTAAACGTAAAAATGACTTTTAAAGTGTAAAGAGCGTATGGATCCGTGGACGGAATAACTAGGGTTCATAAACCAACCGAAACCAAACTCAAAAAGGTTATGAAATTTCCGCAGAAAACACTTTAACCAACGACAAATCAAAATCCAATAAGGTAAGCTAAGAAGTATTGTTTCCGGAATCGTTTATGTAGCTCAAAATCAATAGACTCTATGCCTTGATGAAAATCATGAAAAGGTGGCAAAACTATCTCACTTTCACTCTTAAAACTTCACTTAAAAGTTATTCACTTGTGACCGAGAGAACCCTAGGTCACCCTCTATATTTTGGTAAACAGTAAGTAAACGTTTGGAATTGCAACCCAAAGAGGTATTAGGTTTTAGAATAGTAAAATGATCATTTTATTGGCCAAGCGGAAATATACAGGTTCAAATAGAAATTTAGCCCTCGGCCACCTTTTGAAAGAGCCGGTAACATTTTCAGTAAATACGTCCAATTCGTCACAAAATACATTCGCAAAATTACTTTAACTTGCTCACATTACAAGAAGATAAACGGACGGCATGTCCTTTGTGTTTACCTATTTTCCAGCCATTAATGGCTTCATTATTTTCCTCAAAACAGTCCCAACATCTCATATAGAATAATCTCATGTCTAAAAGCCATTCACTAGGCTTAAAGTCATTATAAATACAAAAATCAAGCTAGAAACATTTCCGGATAAAAACAGTTTTTGACACCATTTTACGGTTTTGGCACCATTGGCGTTACGATTATCGGATGAAGGTGCAAGACACACCGTTTCGAAGCTAACAAATAGGGCTAAAATGTTGAAGAAGGCCACTCAGTCCAGTTTGTAGTGCAACTAGGTCAAAATTGACATATATGAAACCAGAAACTCACAAACAGGTTGGCTAACCGCACAATTGTTAAACAGCAATAATTCAGGCTACCGAAGTCCGATTGAAGTGTATCTTATGGTGTTTCGAAGCTAAGACACAACCCTACATTTCTTATGAAGACCTCCATGGCCAAATCCTGCGTTTTCATGATCAAAAATGGAAAACTACACAAAACAGAATTCTGGCCGCGAAACAGGTTTCATGGACAGTCAATGGTATTTCGGTCATTTCACATGCTACAGTGGATCAAGCTGAAATTTTGCAGGCTACTAGTTTATACCATTGGCTACAACTTTCATGTTTTGGCCAAAATCTAATTCGGTACGGATCATGGTGAAAAGTCACGGTCAGATTGGGTGAAAAGACAACCCTGTTCACTGAATTCCTACCTAGACCAGTCTGGGTATTTCCGTCTATCTCAGGCTACCGAGCTCGGGCTGAAAATTTACAGGCTACTAGAAAACATCATTCTCACAACTTTCATGTTTTTGTGCTAAGGCCAATTCGGCACTCTAACATGCTGAAATAAATTCGGACAGAACAGGCTTGTGTGAAACCCTAACCTGGAAATTTTGCCCCAAACCAGAATTTTTGCACAATCAATCACATCCAACATATATCAACTTCATTTTGCACTATAACAAACCCTTCATCCATGGTTAACCAACACTAATCATATGAAATCAGAAAAATTATGAACAAAAGAAAAATCCATCAATCTCAACCATAGGTCATGAAATCATCCAAAAATCACTTATTCAACCACTACAAATCACTAATTGAACATTATCAAGATTAAAGGAAAGGTTCCTTAGCCACTTACCTTGCAAACCCAAGAAAAGACCCAACTTAGCACCTTGCCTTCTCAAACCACTTCACCAATCACCTTAATCCTACCAAGAGAAAGGTTTTTATGGAACAAATCCAAGTTTTAACGGTTGGTTTGTGAGATTCAAGCAAGAAATTGAATGAAGAAATTGGAAGCTTTTCTTTCTTTTGCTTGCTAGAGGAATTCGGCCAAGAGAGGTAGAAGATGAAGACTATTTGGGTCAAATTTGGACTTTTAGTAAAGATAAAGAAAGTTAGGCAAAGTTAGGTAAGTTTACTCCAATAAGGAATGACACTTGTCACTTTAATTAATGCATATCTATCCTTTTGTCTCTCCATCATTAACCATCTAAGCAACCTCTAATTATCTCATAACATCTAGCAAATTAATCCCAGTACACAAAATTTAACCTAATTGGCCGAATTTTACCGAACTTTCCGCACTAGCGGTCCCACGTCCGATGTACACTCTTAATTTCTCGAAAACTAACCGATACTAGAAAAATCATTTAAAAACTATATTTACTCATAAAATTGATCTAGAAAAATTTTCTAATAAAGAAAATGCAGAAAACGTGCAATTAAAAAAATACGGGTCCTCACACAAATCACAAAAATACGGGTTCTTATTTTAAGGAGTTTAGGAGGTGGATGCTTTGACGAAGAGTGTACATGAGCTATAGCTTTATAAAGATACAGAGGTAGAAAAATTGCTAGTTGATGTGGATTTGGAAATTTTGTTTCAATTGTTGAACTCTGGGATGGTATCGAAGTGGCGTAATGTGTTGCAAAGAATTCGGGTTCTATTAAAAGATTTGTCCTCTTCCATTTCTCATATTTTCGGAAAACCTAATAGCTCTTTGGATAAATTAGCAGGTTTGTGCTTTCCTTCAGAGTTGTTTTGTTCATCTATTCATCAGCTGCCTGGAATTGTTATAGCCTCTATACAATTAGATATTAGGAAATTTTTTGTGCATATGTGAGTTGTAAAGGAGTAGTACTAAATATCAGATGGGCAGACGGTCCGTCGAACCCTTTGATTCGCCGGTGGTGAGACTGTCACAAACAACCTCTTTTTTATCTTTCTTTACTTGCGTTCTTCATCTTCTTCCTCAGTTGTTTCTCTTCTTTAACCAAAAATATCTCATCCATCATCCATAATCCTCTACCACGCTTCACCAATGTTTTAGAAAATCAAATCCAACCACTAACATTCATTCCAGAAGATATTCGCTCAAATATTACAAGCTTCAATACTTGAATACTTGGATATTTGATTAAAAAGCAAGAAAATGGCATTATGTAGAAATTTTTCACAGCTACGTTCTCAGGCCTCAAGCCGTCGCCGTGCCACCAATGCGGGTACAAAGACTGTTAATGGGAATACTATCATTACTGTGGTACCCGTTAATGGGTTCAAAACCCATTTACTAAACAACTAAGTATTACTGTACCATATTACCACTGATATATTTGTACACGCAATTCCCTACCATTCAAAGTCTAAGAACTTGATTAATACGTTTTTTGTATTATTGTAGAAACTAGTTTCTTGCTGTTCTCTTGTGAAAAGTCAGCAATGAACATTACTACTACCCAGTCCTTGATCATATTGTTGGTTCAACTGGGAGTTCGACTCTTAGATCTGCTTTATAACAATGTTCATTCCCAAGTTATCCTTGTCTCGTCATTTGTCATCCATCATGCAGTATGCAGAAAGAAAGGTACAACCGTCCGTTGGAATCAATCATTTGCTGATAGCAGCTCCATCTAATTAAATGTGCATTCAGAGCTAAAATTTTAGCCCCACAAGCAACATAAATGATAGAAAAGTAAATTAATAATAATAATATTTAAAAGGAGTATTCACCGAATAATTTAGGATGAAATTGGCATATAATATACATTCCCGAATAATTAACTGGCAGCGCTTGCTGTATTTTTAACCTACTTTGCAGAGTTCATTTTGCGTGCCGATGCCCTGAATGATACTAACGATTTCCTAAGCTGTTTATCATGCTTTGCTTGTGAAGGCATATAAGTAGCTTCAGCAGGCGTCGAGTATCAATATTGAGCTTCGGACTGCTCTAAAGTTTTCTAAATGCAATGGCCACATCTATGCATTTTGCATCGTCTTTTTTCTGCTATACAACTTTTTTAGCTATTTCCCTTATTCTTGTTCCATGTCTTGCTGTTTCGCTAACTCTGCAATCTGATATTCAAGTTCTACGTAACATCAGGGAGGCTGTTGATCCCAACACTGTCTCCTCAACTTCATTTCTCAGCACTTGGAACTTTGACACAGATCCATGCGAAAGCTCGGGGCCTCATTTTCTAGGAGTTTTATGTACAACTCCTGAAGATAATTCTAGCAGCCGAATAGCTGTAATTAACCTTGAAGGAGATGGATTGGACTGTTTTCTGACTCCAACAATTGGAAACTTGACAGAGCTCACCACCCTAAACTTAAGGAACAACAACTTCCGGGGACCAATACCAAATACTATAGCCAAGTTGAGAAAGATAACCAAACTTCTTTTGTCGCAAAACTTTTTCTCTGGTGGTCTTCCTGAAGGATTGAGCGAGATGAAGAGGCTTAAACATTTTGATTTGTCGCAGAACAGGCTTTCTGGTACCATTCCTCCAAAGATCTCTGCATTAAGGAGCTTGTTACACCTACAACTATCCGGCAACCAATTCTCAGGGAAGTTACCAGACTTTTCTGGTCTATGGCAGCTAACCACATTAGATCTCAGTAGCAACCTATTCTATGGTACACTGCCTCAATTCCCTACAAGTTTAAGAACGCTATTATTAAGTCACAATATGATTTCTGGCAATGTTTCATCCATTGGAAGGCTTTTCAAGACATTAGATCTCAGTGATAATAGGCTCTCTGGCAAAATAGAGCCGGATATCCTTACATCACCTAAGGTAAGCAGCATCAATGTCTCAGCAAATCTCTTCTCTGATATTGAAGTCGTATTCATGAATCAACCCAGCCAGCTTCAGCTATTGGATGCCCACGGTAACCATCTCCGTGGTCATTTGCCATTGCATTTAATCACCTATCAGAATCTAAGAGCAATCTATCTTGGGCATAATTTATTCTCTGGTTGGATCCCGAAGGAATATGGGGCAAAGCTGTATTCTTGGAAGACTTTGTTTCTCGAGTACAACTTCCTTCAAGGAACTCTGCCCACAGGAATTCATGAACAACCTCGAAAGGATTAGGGGCAGCTTAGCACACAATTGCCTTCGTTGTCCAAAAAACGTAAGTTTCTGTCACGGAGGGCAAAGGGCACCTTCAGAATGCACCGGGCAGAAAGGTGAAGGCCCATGGTTGACAAAATTAGGATAAATGATCTGACTTTATTTGATTCTCTTTCAAAGCGTCCTAGTCACAGTAAGAAATTAGCTGAAAAACACCAATCTTTAAAAAAAAAATAGGATAGAAAATTTTTACTTCTTATTCAAATTCGTACCTTTTCTATTTGTCTTTCTGGAGTCTCAACCATCATATTTGAATAGGAAAAAATACTTGTTTTCGCATAGCTTGAAAATATATTGAAAGGATATGGCTTCAATGTTCCCCAAAGCAACAATAAGATTGAGCAAAGTCATTAGAACGATCTAATATAAATTGGTGAAATATTTCTGACATTCACACTCCACTTTCAAACAGATCTGATTCTTGTGTCCATTCTGAAAAGAATTTTGTACATGGGCCAAAGCAACATTCTAGCATCCACTAAGTGATATTATTATGTTGTCGCGCCTCATTTTTTAATAAAGAAAAATAAAAGATGAAAAATTAGAAAAATGATTTTTGATTCAATTTTTGATTGGAAAATGAATTTTTGATTTAAAAAGAAAATGAAAAAACATGGGTCTAAATGGGACTTGAAAATGCGACGATTTGATCCAAAATATAGTTTAAAAAGGGTTTTTTAAGTGAAAAATGGAGTCGCCACTTGGTATAGAATTAAGGTGTACCAAGTCACCTAAAAAATGAATTTTTAAAGAAAAAAGTAGAAAACCCTTTTTAAACGACTCCAAACCTACGAAAATCAGAGAAAAGATTCGGGAGTCACATTTGAAGAAAGGGAAGGCAAGGATAAGAATCCAAGGCACCCTTTCAACCTAGCCAAGGCTAGTTGCGCGATTTAGTCAAAGATTTTCCTATTTTAACCTAAAGATTTATCACATTTGGATGTACTATATGGGGGTCGAAATGTATTTTCAAAACTTATTTGGTACCAATCACATTAATGTGACGCCCAATAAAGACTTTTCGAAGAAGTCACGAACAATGCAAGTCATGAGACTCGAAAGAAAGGAAAAGTAAAGAAAATAATAATATGCAAATGTGTATGACCTAAAGGAATGCATCATAATGGGTGCGGGGGACTTATACTCGTGACTTTCAATGTTCCCTTTAATAGAGGGAATACGAGCATGCTAAGGCTAGAGAAGCCAAACTCGTCCATATCCCATATCCAAGGGGCTTTTCCTAGTCTAATCAAGAAAATGTACTATCCTAGGTCTAATTTTTAAATGCAAGTCTAATGTCATGTTTTCACACCAAGGGGTAAGGAATATATTTATATTATATATATATATATAAGGAAAAATATGGGATAAGGGCTATACATATAAGGAAAGTGTCATGCAACATGATAAAGCCCTAAAAAATGAGAAATATGCATGAGATGAAGTGATTTTATCACACAATCATGATCTAACGCATAGACGGTCCCTAAGGGTCTAGCGTTGGACTAACCCATGCCTACAAAATCTCACTAGCGTTGGACTAGTGAAAAATCGGAACAATGAACCACAACTAGCGTTGGACTAGTGTGGATTCGGGAAAAGTGGGCCACAACTAGCGTTGGACTAGTGTGGTGACGTCACACATCAGTTACAATCAAATAAATCATGTAAGACCTAATAAAAGCATGTAAACACATAAATCACGTATAGCACATAACATATAAGCATGATATCTAGATGCAAGACCCTAAGAAAGCGGATAACACATAACACATAAGCATGCAAAACATACCAAGCAAATAAAGCAAACAAGCCCTAACTATTACATTGGGGGAGGCCCTACTACAATCTAAAGGGGAAAAGAATAAAATAAAATAAAATAATCCCTAACTATTACAACTTTGGCATTCAAGTGCCCTTCAAATGATCAAAATTGAACTAAAAATAAATATACAAAACTAAAGCCAAATAAGCGAATGAATAAATAAATAATAAAAAAACATTCAAGAACATGCACTTAAACATGTAAAGTCACATAGGGCACGTAGGATCAAATAAAGTGAGAAATAAGGGATAGAGTGTACCTCCCTTGAGTTGGGGCCCTAATGGAGCAAAATTACTTATTTACCCTCCAAAACAATAAAAATGTCAAGGTACCACTTTAATTAATGAATAATCACACGAAATTGAATCACTCAAAGCATTCCAAGAGAAGTAAACTACTCATATTTAACAAATTAAGAAAAACAAGGACCCAATTGAAAGTTTAAAGAAGCTAAGGGGCCAATCTGATTGATTTTTCCCAATTTTTAGGCTTTAAAAGCATTAGATGGGAATTGGGGGGTGAAGTGTGAAATTCAGAATTTATTTCATGCATGCCTACGAATGGGGGCTTTTTTCATTTCTGGTTGCTGGGTTTCTGCCAAGGCTTCCCATTAGTTACCCAAACAACTCAAACGAGGCTTCAAACTCAATATTTATTAGCTTCCATAAGACCATCATCACATACAAAAAAATTAGTCATGCAAACGAAAGGAATCAAAGCAGAGAATAGCCACAAGATCAGATTCTTGCTGCAACTTTGCAGCTCGTCTCATGCGATTGTGTCCATGTAGAAACTCTAACCAAACCTGTAATCTCACCAGCCCCAAACTCGCACAAACTTAAAAAACCAAAGGAAAGAAATAGGGTCTCTCTACGCTGCTGCAACAAGCCGAGGGCTTTGAAACTCGTTGCAACAGCTTTTACGCTCTTAACCCCAAACAAACAAAAACACAGATTTCACAAACAAAATCCAACAAGGCTTTATTTTTCTAACACTGGGAATGGACATTTCCTTAGACGCAACAAATTATCAAAATAGCATGGGTTTCATGTTTTCTGTATGAATCACCACTACCACGCCATGAAACAAAGCAGAACCGAAAGGTTATTCGAAACAGACCCATGTAAACATTGTTCAATTTTTGCAGCAACGTACCAAAACGTCAGTCAAGTTCTTTGCTCTTAGGAAGAGCAAGTAAATTCTAGATAAAACCACCAGCGAAGAACCATCAGGCAGCCAGGATAAAATAAAACAAAAGAAAGGAAGCATCTTTATAAGTAAAACGTAAGGGAACCACTGCAAACAATCCCTGCCAACTACAAGGGAGCCAAGTAATGGAGTATAAATCAGCAAGAACTCATTTTTCGACTCCTCACAGTAGCATGATAAACGAAAGCCAAAAATCTGAACATACTTGTATCCTAACTAAGAGGAAAAGAGCTTACTCTTGCGTTGCAATTCCGACCCTGATGTATGGTATCCTCCAACAGACAAACGGAGTAGGGAAAAAGCTTCGTTTGAACAGCTCTAAAAATAATGAAACCTTCGATCTCCCTCCTCCCTTGCCTTATGATTTTCCCTTTCGTTCTCAGTTTCCCAGAACCCAGCTTCTGTTTCTCCCTCGTTCTCTGTCCCCTCTCTCTCGGTTTCTCTTTTAGTTTTTCTTCCTTCCGCCGCCCTAAGCTTCCCTCATTCTCCCTAGATTCTCTCAGCCGCCATTTTTCCTCCCCCTCTTTTTCTCCAATCCTCCTCAGAGCTGCATTCTTTTTTTTTTCTAAACCCTAGTCGCTCCTCCCCCTCAGCCACCAACCTCTTTAGCTGCGTCTTTCTTTGTTTTATTTATACCCAACCCACAACTTCAAACCCTCACAGCAAGGGTATCGAATGAAGCTGCATTTTCTCCCGCTTTTTAGAGCCGTCTGATGATTTTTGCTGGAATCCCCCGGAAGCCGCTGCAATTTTGTTTGTATCTGAATGAGATACATAAAGAGAGTTTGGATCCTGTGCAGCTCACCCACGTGAGCTTGCTTCTTTTTTTTTAGTTAAATAATAATAAACAAAAATATAAAGAAAAAAAACAAGTAAAATTGAATAAAATGAAACTAGGCATAAAAAGATAAAAATGAAATGCTAATTTTTTTTAATTAAATAAGAATGAACTTGAGTCTAAAAAAAGAAACTAAAGCATATTTTTGTGAATGATTTTCTTTTTTCCCGATAAATTCTATGCTAAAAAATAAAAATAAAAGACTAAAAGTAAATAAAAACTAACATAAAAAATAAAAATAATAGTAAACAAAAAAAATACACTAAAAATTTGGTGTCTACAGTTTGCCCCTTTTTGTCTGAGTTTCGATGAAACTCGAGACAAAAAAGTAGGCACTAAATACTCACTTGTGTTATTCGGCTGCAAACTACTCGAACGACTGCTGTTTTTGAAATAAGGACTGACCCCTTTAACAAAAATAATTTAAAATGGACTGACCCAGACGAAAAATTTGAAAAAGGGCTGACCCGAACGAGATATTAAACACGGACTGACCCGAACGAAAATTTAAGCATGGGATTGACCCGAACAAGGAATTAATCATAGGACTGACCCGAACAAGAAATTAATCATGGGACTGACCCGAACAAAATTTTAAATCATGGGACTGACCCGAACAAACTTAAATCATGGGACCGGCCCGAACAAAATTTTAAATCATGGGACTGACCTGAACAAAATTTAAAATTATGGGACTGACCCGAATAGGAAATTTAAACGGAATGCACACTAGTGGGACTGACCCATGTTTAGTGGCAATAAAGATGAAATGCACGCTAGTGGGATTGACCCACGGCTAGTGGCAATGCAAAACGAAAGGCTCACTAGTGGGACTGACCTAACGGCTAGTGGCAATGTAAATGAAAGGCTCATTAGTGGGACTGATCCAACGGCTAGTGGCGATGTAAATGAAAGACTCACTAGTGGGACTGACCCAACGGCTAGTGGCGGTGGAAACTGAAATGCTCACTAGTGGGACTGACCCAACGGCTAGTGGCAATGTAAAATGAAGTGCTCACTCGTGGGACTGACCCAACGGCTAGTGGTAATGTAAATGAAATGTTCACTAATGGGACTGACCCAACGGCT